CGTAACATACTGTCTACTCTGATTTCCGATCTAACAGATCATAACCACATGTAGCATACCATAACAATAACAACTAAAGGGTCGACCTTGGTTCCGTAGACCCTATCAATATAGTGAGGATAACTCACCTCAGAAATGTCGACTCGGAAGGTAAAATCCAACTCTCGGATCACTTGACATAGGCTCCACCACCTATTATCATAGTACAATATACTCGTAAGTCTTTAACCTTATAAGGTACTCCATAACCCACTAGTCAACCCCTGATCAATGTCAAAGTCCTCAGTCAAGGCCAACAGTCCGTGTTGACCTCGACTCGCCGAGTACCCTCAGCTACTCATCGAGTCATCGCGGTGACTCGTCGAGTTCCTTCGATTCTCGATCAAACTTTAAGGACATCCATCGAGTTTCCTCCTTGCAGATCGACGGATACACACGTATACATATCCTAGAGAAAACTCATCCGAATCACCGAGTTGTTCTTCAACTCGTCGAGTCTATGGAAATCATCATCGGACTCGCCGAGTTGTTCCTCCAACTCATCGAGTTCACTGCCATCTTCATGTGACTCGCCGAGTCAACCTTGTGACTCATCAAGTCCATTTAGTCTTTTTTCCATACAGACCTATTTTGAGCCATGCAACGGCTCCAAATAATAGATCCAAGCTTCTAGGGTATGCTTTTCACGTAATGTTGCAAAATTCATGATAGCTACAAAGGTTCTAAATGCCAAATCTAAGCTCTTAATGGGGTCTTATGCCTAAAGGGCCTCATTCAGGACCAATACAACAACTTTATGATTCTAAAATTTAAGCAGGGTCCAGATCTGAAGTTACAACTTCAGATCCAGCCCATAGCCCACCTTATCAACCTCAAAATCCATAAAAACCCCCCAAAAACTCAACAAAAGGAAAAAGGGAAGTAAGGATGGCAACTTGATAACTCCAAGGGATGCTAGCTGAGGTAAATTATGCTTCCCACACCTTCCTTGCTTCAATTCCTTTGCACTTCTAGCTTTTCTCTTCTAGCCAACCTTCTTTCCAAGCCTAAGACACACCAAAATGGAATACCACATGAATTAGGGTTTTAAGGAGCTCTCAAAGACTGCAAAGAGGCGAAAGGAGGCTGAGGCTCCTTTAAATAGGGGTGTAACCCCCAGGATTTAGGGTTTCATCTGCCAGCTCCTACTCGCCGAGTCCTAATATGGACTCGTCGAGTAGGTTACTCAACACGCGATCCCACCCCACTGCAACTCGACGAGTAGGGCAACCAACTCGTCGAGTAGAGCTTAACCCAATAAATCTTATTTAAACAATACCTGAGAATTGGGGTGTTACATATTTTCAAAAAAAAAAAAAAATCGACGAAGATGGAAATATCATTCGAAACAAATCCAGACTTGTTGTTAATGGATATTCACAACAAGAAGGAATCGACTATGAAGAAACTTTTGCCCCTATTGCATGACTTGAGGCTGTTCGTATATTTCTGGCTTATGCAGCTCACAAAGACTTTGATGTTTATCAAATGGACGTGAACTGTGCATTTTTAAACAGAGAGCTTGAAGAAATAGTTTACGTGGAACAACCCCCAGGTTTTATTAACGAAGAACATCATGATCATGTATATATCTTAGATAAGGCAGTTTATGGGTTAAAACAAGCACCACGGGCATGATATGCAACTCTTACTTCTTTCTTGAAGCAATATAAATTTAAACAAGGATCTATTGAACCCACATTATTTCGTAAGAAAGTTGGGAATCATTTAATGCATGTTCAAATTTATGTTGATGATATTATTTTTGGCTCAACTGACCCTGCCTTGTCTAGAGAATTCAAAAATCTAATGAAAAGTAAGTTTGAAATGAGCATGATGGGAAAGATAAATAATTTTCTTGGTTTAAACATTCGTCAAAGTAGAGAAGGGATTTTTATTAACCAATAAAAATATACAAAGAATCTGGTAGAGAAGTTTGGATTGACGAATAACACGAAGTTATGAGTTCCTATGGCAACTGGCATAAAGCTGACACCTTCATTAGATAAACCTACATTTGACCTAACTCTTTACAGGAGTATGATTGGTTAATTACTTTATCTTACAGCTAGTATACCTGATATCATGTTCTCTGTGTGTAATTGTGCTAGGTATCAGTCAAATCCACGAGAACCACATCTCACTACTGTGAAGAATATCTTTCGTTATCTTAAGGGAACAATTTCGTTAGGATTGTGGTATCTTTCGAAAACAAGGTTCTTTGTTCAAGCTTATTCGGATGCATAATTAGGTGGTTGTAATCTTGATAGAAAGAGAACAAGTGGAGGATATCAATTGCTTGATGGCAAATTGGTGAGCTGGTAGTCGAAAAAGAAAATGTGTGTATCAATTTCAACTGCTGAAGCATAATATGTGGCTGCTGCTGCTTGCACATCACAAATTATATGGATCCAAAGTCAATTGCGTGCTTATGCAATTAATATGAAAAAGATTCCATTATATTGTTATTCTCAAAGTGCAATAAGAAATTTTCATAATCCTGTGCAGCATACGAAGACTAAACATATAACTCTCCGTTATCATATCATCAAGGATCATGTGGAGGATGGAAATATTGAAATACATTTTGTTAAAGCAACTGATCCGTTTTTGTCATTTAATTTTCAAAAAATAAAAAATCCAAAAAGATTTTCGTTTGTTTTGTCATTTAATTTTCGAAAAATTAAAAATCCAAAAGGATTTTCGTTTGTTTTGTCATTTAATTTTCGAAAAATCAAAAACTCAAAAAGATTATCTTCTTTTTTTTTTCAAAAAATCAAAAACAAGAAAAATATTTTTTTCTCATTTCTATTTAGTATTTTGTTGCAGATATTCATGATGATTCTACTTGGGGAATGATTGCATATCTAGGGTGAGGTAAATTTTCGAATACTTTGAATTAGTTAACTTGTCCCTAGAAGCATAGCATGTTGACCAAAGCCTCCATTGACTTAATGTGTGTGTATGAAAGCCTTAATAAAATCTTTCATACGAAAAATTTCTTTCCAATCAGGCTTGTATTCATATTAGTCTCCTGACCTACCTGACTCTTCAAACATGAGTTAAGAGTTTACTGTTTTATCCAAACATAACAGAGGTACATTTCGTGTCTTACACCAATCTTTTTCATCTGAAAGTTCTTACACGATCACACACAAAGACATATATCCTAGAGGTCTTTGATCAAACCAATCGAGAATTAGACATATCAAAACTCTGTGTTTATTATCTGACATCGTGAGACCATGATGAAAGTGAAACCCAATTCTCTAAACTTTTAAGGAATTGACGGGGAACTATGTTCCAGATTTTCACGAAAAAGTGAAACCCACGATATTTGTTACCCAACAAGATCTAGCACAAATTTTTTCATGAATATGATTTCCGTGTGAGTTTTATTCGAAATCCAAAGTCACTTAATTTTTTTGTCAAAGCAAACTTGTCACTGACTACACAGGTTAAACAAGTAATTTCTGTTACAATTTCTCACCTTATGTTTAGGTTGATATGTAACGAAATTCTTATAGCTACCTATGCAGCCTAATAAAAGATGCCCTTCGATACTTCTCTACAAGTATTCGATTGTATCTCACGGGAACATACACAAGCAGCTGATTATCTCTCTTGGTGATTAATGAAGTAACCTTTGCTTGGGGTTTATAATGCTTTTGTGTCGAAAAATTGATCGAAATCACTGACTTGCAAATTTTTTCTTATTATTGCTTCTCATCTAATTTTTTTGGAACACTGCACTCACAAAATCCTTGAGGTTCTGAGTAACACCAAATCAGGTTGATAATTTTGAACATCTTACTTTAAAACCCAAAAGTAAAATAGCCTTACTTCCATTCGAAGGGTTCTGATGGTCATAATTCTATTAGGGCAAACAAAACAACCTCTTTTATGGTGATGTATGGTATTCTGTCCGGGTTTCAAGGAGACGTGATAGTTACTTTTTCACGCATGGCTACTTTTATGGGGTAGTGGTCTGACTTTCAAGGTGCCACGTCGGATCTCATTAAATGCACATCCCGCTTCAAATTCAAACTCCAGGGTTACATATAAAAGGGGATTCAAGGGTTTGTTATCAGTTTATGATTTCAGAAGAAAAATTCCCAAAATTCTCTCTGAAAAAATTCAGTTGTTCTTCACAAGATTTTCCAGCCCTAATTATGGCTACACTGATGTTCCATCCCAAACAACTGAAGATGTTACTTCACAACCAATCATGAAGATTCTAGGAACTAACTACCAAGTAGAGGCTGATGTTTCTACTTATCTGGAAGAACTCAAGATGTTGACTGTCCTTTACAAAGTTCAGTTCTATCCAAGGTTATGTTTCAATCTTTTGCTGTTCCTCTTTCCTGATTATCTCAAGCAGGATCAACTGCTACTTACAACAAAGCTTTGGATGTCATTACATTCAACCTGGTGAATGATAAGAAGGTTAGACTATCGAAGAAGCTATTTTATCAAATATTGGAAATCCCAAATTCTCCACCCTACATTGATCTGCAATTTTCCCAAATTTTATATATGTTCAACGAGATGAGTCATCAACCCAACTCACAAAGAACAGTGATTTCAAGAAATATGGTCTTCCAAGCATTTGAAATTTTCTCTTTGGAATTTTTCTGAGATTTTTGAATGGTTGATCTGTTGGTCTCGAAAAAGAAAGGATGGAAGTATATGCCATGGTTGCTGAGCTATACTATGATTTTCCGGTGGAGTATTCTACACAGCTTTGGAAGGAATTCCAAAAGAGTGTTGAAAACACAAATGCAATACAAGGCATTTCATGTGAAAGGTATTGGAGTTTGATTTTGCAACACTTTTATGAGAAGGAAGGGAATTTGGTGAATTCTGAGGAGGAGAAGGATGAATTCTATACATAAAATTATCCAAAAAATATGACTGATGATGCAAAGGAGTTTCCATTTGTTGCTCATATTCCAGATTCTATGTTGAGGCGTTTTGATCCTACACATGTTGTTTTGGTGGAATATTTGAAAAACATTGATCCTAATGTTCAAACAGGGATTTTGTTGCCAAGGGAAGAGAAGAAGTCTTGTCGTTCGAAGAAGAATGAACCGGGTTCTTTTGAAAACCTTGTTACTGAAACTAAGTCAAAGAAGTCTCCAAAGAAGAAGCCTAGTGAAGTTAAGGAGCCAGTGGTAAATGAAGTGTCTGTTGATGTGACTATTCCAATTGAGCCCGCTGTTGAAGATACTCAAGAGAAAGTGGTTATTCCTTCGAAGACTGGTGTTTTTCGAAGAATAAAAAAGAAGTCTAAGCATACACGACAGTCTCCGACTCTTAATGTGGTAAGAAAGCCTCATGTTACTCATCAGGGTCTCATTATTCTTGAAATACCAACTCCTGTTTCTCTATTTTCTAAGAAATGAATGGCTAAAGATATGGCCAAACATATTTCTCAAAGGGAGAAGAAGAAGACATGAAAGCTTGCTATGACAACCGAATCCATAGAAGATGAAGATGAATGAATTCCTTAAACACCTTAAGAAAATCTTACCAAGGAAAGTTTAACTCATGAGCAGACAATGGTCATACCATCCGAATATTCGTCTACCAAGTCATCTCATGAGGCGGCACGAACTTCAAACATCAATGCAAACGTATCTCATACGGATGTAAATGTCAACATGGGTGAAGGAGATGCGAAGATAGAATCTCAAGGCAATCCTGATTCTATTGTTTCGTTACCTCCACAAATCACACCAATTACTTCAACCACAGACTCACCCACATTCCAAAATATTATCAATAAACCCTTTACTTCCAGTTTTTCTTCTCAATACACTGATCCACCCAAAACCAATTCCTCTGTTAAAGACTCAATTCTTATGGAAATTGATACTGACAATGAGGGTTTTGGAGGAACCTTTGATGAATTGGAGTTTGATAATGAAGAAGAAGATTTTCCAGATCATATGCTGATGACAATAAGGCATTTTAAGATTTTGAATACAAAGTTGAATTCCATAATTCAATCTCAAGTTGATCTGGGAGGTGGTTCGTCAGTTTCAATTTTGGAAGTTGATACGATGTTGAAACTATTCGAAGCAAAGGTAGTGAGTAAAGTGTCTGTGATGGTTAGAGACTCGGAATCAAGAACTTTGGAGATGGTTGATCATCATGATCAAAACAATGAGCTAAGGGTGAATTCTCAAAATTCGACATTTTTGGGGGAAGTTAAATATTTGAAAAAACTGGCAAAGGACCGACATATTTTGTTCGTTCAAAATGTCAAGAAAGTCCGTGAAGATGTAAATTTGCAGATTCGTGAGCTTCACAAAGATACGAAAAAAGAGATTGTAAGTGTCCAACAGGATTATGCATCTCCGAAATCAGAAGATTGACATTATTTGTGATGCCGTTACAAGATTTGTCAAGTTGTACGAAAGCATGAGTCCTCAACTTACTCAACTTTCTACAACAGAAAGTAAAAATTCTCTGGACGTGATTAATTTGCTGAAGGAGCTCAAAGAATTATCTGTCAATCCAGTTTTATCTTCTCTGATAACTCCTGAATTTTTGTCTCAAAAATTCATACAATTTGAAGCTATTTTACACAAGCAACCGACCCCTCTTTCAAGAATATCGAGCGTTCTACCAACAACAGATGCCCCACCTATTTCAACAGGGGTGCAAGGGGGAGAAAGAAAGGTTGAAGATGCGAAGGCTGGTGGTGTAGCTTCGCATGCAAATGAAAAAGTTGTGGGAACGGTGTTTTCTACGAAGATCCCAACAACAAAGCCGATAATTTCATCTGCTGGGCCAGTTACTTCAATAGTGGTCACTACAATGCCAATTTCAAGGTCTATTTTGAAAGGAGTTGTTATTGGTGAGGCTACTGGTGGGAGCAATAAGAAGCCAAAAGTGACAGATGAAACTTCGAAAGATAAAGGAAAAACCATTGTTGTGGAAAAGATGAAGGAGGAAAAGAAAGTTGAAGTTAAAGTAGAACTTGAAAGGATGAGGTTGGTCCAAAGCATTATGACTCAGTGTGCTAGTGATCCTCTAGGTTTGGATAAAGGTGATCTATCCAAACATTACAATTATGAAACAATCGAAGCCAAGGTTTCATAGAATCATATGTATTCGTTCGAAAAGAAACTAAAGCAGAGTTATGTGGTAACGAATACGAATGCAGGCCAGCTAGACTTTCCAATGAATGAGATGATGTTTATCGTGCCTCAATTCAAAGCAAAAGGAAATTTCAAAGTAAAGGATGAAGGTACTCACATGAAGATTCGATTTCATGGTGTTCTTGCCAAATTTGCTGAGGAAGTTTGGTCACTGGTGAAGATAAGAAGGTCATCAGTATAAAGAAGGATGTGGTATTTGGAAACACAGTCCAAAATATCAAATACGTTGTGGCCAGGGAAAATGGAAATATTTGTGATTTCACTATTGCAAATTTTCAATTAATGAACTTGTATGATCTTATACAGGTTGCATTGATTTTGAAAGATAAATCTTTTTCGTATCTTCAAAATTCAGAACCTGATGAATTCAAGCTTGGGGTTGCTCACATCAAAATTTTCATTGAGAATTATTACGAGTGCTTGGCACTAACTGATGTTGAATTCGAAATAGATAAAGGTTTAGAAATAAAAGCTCCTATGGCACCTACGAAGACCCAAACTGATTTGAAGAAGTATGTAGATTGGGAGATCTGCTTAAAGCCTTTTGGGTTGGTCTTCGCAGGAAAAGATAAAGCTAGAAAAGCAAAACGTTTCTTGTTCCAAGCATGCGAAGTGGATAGGTATTCGACGTCTCAATATACGAACTTATTTGTTTGTATGAATCATTGCAAGAAGAACAAGGAAGGAGATAAGAAGGAACTAAAGAAGATTATTTCCTGGTACACGGAAATACGAAGGGTGATGCTATATTCCATTTAGCTACTCACAAATTAAGGAGTTTGACTATTAGTACAAAGGGGGAGATTGTAAGAGTCAAAGTATGTTGTAATTAGTCGAAGTCTGTCAAATACCCTTCGTATGTTTTGTAATGTATTTACTAAGGTGCTTTTATACGAAGCTTAGTGTCAATGCCTTAGTATTTTTTGTACGCTTTCTATTTCCTATAAATAGAGACATTTACTAGAGTTAGATGAGAGTTGTTTTTACAGAAACCTGTCTTTGTACTCTGTAATATTTGAAAGCGTAATAGATCTGAAAACAAGATCATATTTACATCCATTGTTCAATCTTGCATTCTTACATACTCTGATTTGTTACTTACTCGATTCATTGATTCGTCACTACTTTAGGGATCACATGGATTTTCCAAAGACTAAAAGTAAGAGAAAATGGGCTAGAATTAAAAGAAATCGAGAAAGAGTGTTTGGGAAGTTATGGGAGAAATAATGAGGCTTGGCCTCCTAATTATAGCCAAATTTTAGGGTGCACAACATGTAAATAGGGTGTATGTCGTGCATTTGAAGCTGACACCTCCCTAACCAGTATGTGCAATGTAATCACTTCTCTATGGACCATGTTTTCACCTTCTAGAAGCGCACTACTAGAAAAAAGCGCTTTAATGACGCGCAAACAATGACACTCGCTGATAGAGGACGCGCATTTGTGGATGCCCCAAAAATAATGTCACCTCTCTTAAAATTTAAAGGATTTAGAACACGCATTTTTGCGTGCCATGAAATTAGTGTCTGAGAAAAAAAAAACACAGAGGTTACCTATAATAAAACGTCCATCGTCTAAGGATGTCGCTTTATAAATTTTAATAGAAACACGCGTTCCATCCTTCTAGGGGCGAAATGAAATCCTAAAATATTAAAATGCCCGCCTTCCTTTTTTCTCCTCCACTTTAGTTTCCCTCTTGCCCTATTTATCGATGCTCCTTCCTTCCCTCCTCCCGACATTGACTGCCGCTGACTTCTTCCCTCTCACTTCGACCATCGTTACATGCCCTTCCCGATCGTCGACATTGATCAAGGCAATAGTAGGCACGCCATCTCCGAAGTTATGTATACCACTGGCTTTTAATTTCACGTATTCGGTAGCTTCTCTTTATGGGTATCTCTAATCTACTCAATTTATCTGTTTCCACCGCATCGGTTCCTTATTTTCCTCTTTCATCCTCTCTACAATAAGCCCTAATCTATGAACCAAGGTAAAGTCTGATCAAATTAATGTATTAATTTATTGTTAGTTCCCATTTTGTTTCGTCTCTCTTCTTTCTGTCAACGCAATCTATGGTTTGGTACTAGTGACTGCTTCCTCCTGCCATTTTGGTTCGTCAATTTCAAAAGGAAGTTGGAATTTTTACCGATTTCACTAAAGATGACATCAAGGTCAAATTTTTTGGTTCGTCTCTCTTCTTTCTATTAATGTAAACAGGTATCCCATGATTTTTTTTTCAAAAGGAAGTGAACTCTAGGTTTTATAAATAATGAATTATCAATGAGTGACTAATGATTCTGCACTTCGCTATTATGCTATTTAGTTTTTATATCTTTGATTTGTTTTTTGTAATAGAGTGATTAATGAAGATGCACTACAGCAGGCCCTAGCTGCTGCAGTCAGCTGCACAATTTTCTTGAACCTGAAAGTGGGTGGAAACCTGTTTCAGCTTAAAATATATAAAGATTAAGAAGCTAGCAATAAAACAAAACAAGAAATTATGGAATTGGTTTTGTAGTTTGTTTTGCTTTTGGTTGTCTATTTGAGTAACAACCTTTTATACCATTTCAATTTTTATCTTTCACTTAGTGTTGCTATTAACTTTCAGTTAATATGAAGTGTGAAGTTGTTGATCCTGATGGTCTACTGAACCAATTAAGGTTTTTAAAGTCTATGAATGTTGATGGAGTAATGGTTGATTGCTGGTGGGGTATAGTTGAAGCACATATAAACGGTTATTTCAAATGGTGCGTGAGCTTAAGCTCAAGTTACAGGTTTGTCCTCTTTGAGAAATTTTGTCACATGTTGCTGCTATTTGTTGAAATTTTCATTTATTTTGAAAATAAAACAAGTGACCATAAGGTAGGTTTCGTGAATTCTCAGATGTGGCATTCAGAGTTGCTGCAGATGATTGTGTAGCTTCATATAGTGGAACTGGAATCGTGCACTGTGCTTCAGCATTTGGTGAAGATGATTACCGTGTTTGTTTGGAAAATCAAATCATTCATAAGGTCTGAAATATGTTGATCACATATGCATTGTATCTTTATTTATATCTTTTTTCCTATAACCCAATCATACTTGTTCTTCATTATGCAGGGAGAAAATCTTGTTATGGCAGTTGATGATGATGGATGCTTTACAGAAAGAGTTATTGATTTCATTGGTCAATATGTCAAAGAGGCAGATAAAGATATCATTCAAGTAGTGAAGGCAAGAATAGTTAAATGTTATATAATTATTAACAGGGGCATCTATTTAAAATGATTATTCCTTACCTTTTGTTGTGGATGTATGCAAGATAAGAGCAAACTGGTCAAATCTGGAAGCTTTACTCATTCATATCCATTTTGTTGGAGATCCGATACTCCTCTCATCAATAGAGCAGTTCCAGCTGGTACACTTTTTATACTCATATTTTGTGCAAAAGACATGAATGCCCTTCTCATCCTCATTATCTTTTTGGTCAAGGTTTGTAGCAGTGGAAAAGTTGAAAGATCAACTGCTTGAAAACAGTGAGAAAACAAAATGGGTTCCTGCTTTTGTAAAAGAACATGTATTCTATTTTAGGCTAAACAGAAATGAAGCTGATTGTGAAAAAGACTTAATTGAATAATTGTGTTCCTAAGTATTTATGTTGCTGACCCTTTTCATTTCGTGATCAAATGAAATGAATTTTTTTCAATATATTCTGTTTTTGAACCAAAGATTAGGCTGGAATTTCTTAGATATTCAGTGATAGTAGGCTAGCACATTGAATAATTGTTTAAAAAGACATGATGTATTGTTTAAATTGTTATGGAATTCAAGTTGTGCATAATATCAATTAGTTGTATCAATCAATATTTTTGGAATTTTATCTTGTGTCTTAAAGGTTAAATTCAAGATTGTTCAAACTGGTTTCTTCTTCATCGCATGAGTAACGCTTTCCTTGAAATGCCAATTTTAGGGCTAGTTGATTGGTAAGAAGAAAGATTTCTACTTGGATTTTAGAAATTAGAATCATAATCACTTATATGATGAAACCTAAAATCTGTTGATGTTATTTATTTATTTATTTTTATCTTAGGAACCTTGTTGAATTGGCCAGCCTGATCCAGATCATGAAAAAGCACCTACTATACCTGATAAAGAGATTAAGGAACATGGTGAGAAAGAAAAAGACACATCAGAATACACAGAACAAAGAGAACATGATCAAGATGATAAATATTGTGATGTGACACATCATTTTTCCCAAAATAAACCCCCACGTACTCTTGAAGACTTTGTAGCTGAACTCTTTCATCAAGGTATCTACTAGTCCCATCTGGCTGTTGTTATAAAGGTATTGCATTCTTTTGAACAATTGATTTCATGTCCTTATTGACCATTTGTATGTTGGAAGATGTACATGGCCAAATGCTTTGTCTTCCTGAGAAGGTGAAGGAAAGATTGAGCAACTCAGATGATTACCAGTCATTTTTGAAGTGCATTGTAGAGTATTACACAAAGAGTATTACTCGGCCACAATTTCAATCAAGGGTAAACTTATATACACAATACACATTATTTACAGATTTATTCTTTTTTGTTTCTAGTATTTGCATCCTGCTTTATTGCTAGATATCTGCATTCGTTGTTTGTGTATCCATAAAACTTCTAGATGACTTTTTGTGTGGTATCCTTAGATTGAATTTGATAAATTAAAGAAATTTTTATTTTTGTTAGGTAGATAGTTTGCTTGGAGCATATCCGGATATTGTGGAAGAAGTCAATGAGTTTATAGATCGCAGTGAAAAGACAAGTAACTGTACACATAAGTTCTTATTTACCTTTACATGCCTAATAAGATTCTATAAATCTTCATCTAATAATGTATATATATGCAGATAGCTCTTCCCCATGAGTAAGTTTACATATAATTACA